AGGCGCGGGACCGAGCGTGCTCTGTCTGGAGCTGGGCGCTGCAGCCCTGCCCGGCCCGCAGGAGGGAGGCCACGAGGAACGCCCCGTCCACGTCCCGCACGGCACAGCACCTTACGGTCAGGAACCCCACCGCAACCGGCACTTCGCCTCAGCTGCTTGCTGATACTTTTCTTGCCTCGCACCCTGATCTGTCAGAGGAGTGTTGTAAAACCGTGTGTAGATCCAAATGTGACCCTCGTAAATATAGATGCGCCCTAATTCCTGTGCATCCTCAGTTCAGCTTCGCCCTGCTCAGCACCTTGCTCCTGCGGTCTTCAGAGTGAAGAGCCAGACAACCTGACACCAGACGGAGGCCAGGCGGGGCTGAGGCCTGGCTCTCCTCACGCTCCGTGAGGAACAATGATTGCACCCAGCATCAGTATCCCCAGATGGGGGATGGCGGCTCCCGAGGTGCGTGAGCTGAGTGCTGCCTGCAAGGCTCCCACGAGCACTGGAGAAGATGGCTATGAACCCACGGGTCATATCTGAGGTGCTGGGCAGGGGTAAGCAAGCACAGGTGCACGTCCCTTGACGGGAGCAGGTCCCACCTCGGCCCTGCTTTCTGGTGACTGCAGTGGAGGTCATAAGCTCTACCGGGAACAGGCGACCCCTGGACCCCCAGTCATCATATACCTAACACCTGTTTTGCTGTGCCATTTTCAAACCAAGGCAGATTCTTTGGTTTGGGGGTGGATGGCTTCTTGGAGGGTACACAAGTCTTACGAAGTTGTTCCTTGCTCCAGCTGAGCAGGACTTCGTCTTCCTTGAGGAGGGTGCTCATCTAATACGTCAGAATTTCACGCCTACTCTTTTTCACATGCCCTCCACCACACCACCCCAGCTCTGTGGCCTGAGTCAGCTTGGTCTTGCCTGTCTGGGGGCTCAGGCTTTGCCCGTCTGTAGGACTGGTGCTCTGCCATTGCTTTGCTGGGGCTAAGATGGCAGCCAGTCTCATGCTTTTCAGTACTTACCAACAATTGTCAAAATCCTCATTCTGTTCCTACTGTGCCACCAACCATATGCATAGAAAAGTAACTTTATGGGCAGGGGATTCAGCTCAGTGGCACTGTGCCTGCCTCACAAACCAAAGTCCTGAGTTCCATCCCTGGTACAAAAAAAAAAAAAGTCACTTTATTCTTCTGTACCTCAGATTTTCTGTATTATAAAATTCAGGGGTAGAATTCATTACATTTTAAATTGCCTTCTGGTTCTAGATCTCTGTGTATTGCAGTTATTAAGAAGGATATCTCTCACTTTAAAAATTATTTTCATAAAGAAATTGGATCTGAGCATAGGATGACACCTACTTTTTCAAGTTACTAGTATATTATTAAAGGCTGGGCTGAGCAGCTGGTGAGGCAAGTAATAATATTTGCATTGTAAAACTTAACAATATGAAATTATATTCTCCTATGCAATCTTATTTAATCCTCACAACCCTGGGAAATAGCATTACATTTCCCCAAGTTTAAAATGTGCATAGTTTTACATTTTAATGTTGCTGAAATCAAGAAATGTACTACAATTGACCCATACTTCTTTCGTCACCTTTACCCCATCACATTTCTTGATGAATTGATGATATTTCATATACTCACTTAGAGCCCTTGAAAGAGTAGTTGTAATTATTTGTAATTAACATTCCATACCCACTGCCATCAAGGCAGAGAAAGGCACCAGAGTGAGTCACTTTGGATAATATCATCCAGCGTGAATTGCACACCTAATGTCTCAGAAACACTCAAGGGATGGACTCATGTTACCTCCACCAAAAAAGTGTACAGATATGTTAAATATTTTACTCCAGCAAACTTAGCAAGTTAGAGATAAAACAGTCATCTGCATGGCCTACAGAACCCTCTGAATTTGAAATTGAAGTAGAATGGAAGTTAAATCTTTATTGACTACAAAGAGATAATGAAATCTCAAGTACAAGAATCTCTAGAAAAAATGTAAATGAAAGATTAGGGTATTTTTCTTTCAGTTTATTTTGTTTATTTTTGGGTTATAGGAATGGATTTGGAGAAATGAATAGATATCTACAGCCCAGGAAACACACAGCCTGCAGTAGTTTGCCTTTCACTCAAAGAAAGTGTCCACATCCAACCCTTGTACCTTTGTGGCAAAATTAATGAGGAACAATCATCACCGGCCACACACAACACCTTCTCTAGGAAGTACAATTGACTTCTTTTCCAGAAAACAGGTTTTTATAGAATAATCTTAAAATCTAACCACTTTCCCTTCAATCTCTTCTACCGGTGCTTAACAATCTTCTATTTTAATACTTTGAGCATCAAACAACTATATCCTAATTTTGAGACCCACTTTCTCTGCAGGTCAATGACCTAGTCTTAGCCTGCCTTTCCCTCTTTTGTAAGCAAAAGCCTTTAGAATCAAATATTGGCAAACCAATACTGCTTGACCCCAAACCTAGGCACAGCAGTTTAGTCCACCATGGGCACTTGTTGAGGCTAGCACAGCCAGAACCTTCCCTTTCCAGAATGAAGAATTGGGATCCAGAAAAGGGATCTGGGTGGGCCTGTATTGTAGAGATTAAGGAACTGTTGTGTTCTGGAAAAAGCAAGAAGGGCAGAGAGTGAAGAGTAAAGCAGAAATTCAGACAGAGAAGAGAGGTGGCCTCCTGAGGGTCTCTAAGCATGGCATGTGTATGAACAATCCCTCAACCCAGTTAGGTATAATTTCTTCTTCCTGCCCCCCAAAAAACTAGCCAGTCTAGGGGTTCAGAAAAGATAAGTTGGGTTGGTCCACCGCCTGTGCAGACAATTAAGGAGACTTATTTTGTTGGATACTTTAGTACCTCTTCTGGGTGTTTCTGGTTATTCCTTCTCTTGGGTTCTGACCTTGACTGTTGGTTTTGCCCCTTCCATTGCTGGGTGCTGTTTTCTGCCCACAGTTTGACCTTTGTGGTTTGTTAAGTATCACCTCCCCTTTCACTTCCCTTCCACTGACTCTAATGGGCTGTGTCCTTCCATCTGCTGGCTCCCAGCTTCTTCTCC